TCGCATAATGCGCTGCAGACTTTCGTCCATACTTGCCCCATTCCTGATTCACTCTGCGACCATTATGCGGTCCGCAGAGTGATTTTGCGACCGTAGAGTGGGACGCAGAAATGACCTTTTTCGGTAAAAAGTTTTCCTTTACTCATCGACGCATTGTTCAACCCAAAAAGTCCCAGCCGCGGCGAGCAAGTGTGGACTAATTAATCTTCCTCGACACCATAAAACCTTAATTTTTATAGCAAAAGTTCTCCGGGGGTCGTTACACATAAGTCAACATTCGGTCACCCTTTTTAACTTAAGTTCTAAACCTTGGAACTAAGTGTTTCAAACCTCACCGGACCCGGACCAATTACCTCGGCAAGTCAAATAACAACTGAAAAGCACAATTTGAGCAGTAAATAGGGAGACGAGGTTGTAATACTCAAAACGACCGGTCGGGTCGTTACACTATAAAGAGAATACAATTTATATACAATTATACTACAACTTTAGATAAGACTGGGTTGCTATAGTGGTGAGCACCCTCCACTTCTAACCAAGAGGTTGTGAGTTCGAGTCACCCCAAGAGCAAGGTGGGGAATTCTTGGAGGGAGAGAGCCGAGGGTCTATCGGAAATAGCCTCTCTACTCCAGGATAGGGGTAAGGTCTGCGTACACACTACCCTCCCCAGACCCCACTAGTGGGATTATACTGGGTTGTTGTTATTGTTGTTGTTGTATACTACAACTTTACTACAACTTCGTTAGTATATTGTATGCCATGTCGTCTTCTTCTTCTTCTTCTTTTTCTTCTTCTTCTTCTTCTTCTTCTTCATCGAGTTTCAATCTGAAATTCAGCCAAAATCAAGTCTAATCTTCACCAAACACCCTCAAAATTGAGATATAAACTCCAAACAATATTTTCAATAGTTTGCAACAACACCCAACCAAAACAAATAATGATTATTGAAAACCCAAATTCGAATTCAAAGCTTCAAAATTTTTTAATAGCTGTCAATGGTGGAGAATCAAACACCTTCAAAATTTATTGATTGACAATTTCAATTTGAACACCAATTGTGCAACATGAAAGAAAATTGCTAAGTTAAAACTCTATAGTAAAACGATTGAAATCCATTGATAAATTCCATTAAAAATATATACAACATAAAAGGATAAAAAATAGAGGACATCAGAGGAAGAAAAATTGGGAAAAGAACAGAGAATGGGAGATTGAGAGAGAGAGAGAGAGAGAGAGAGAGAGAGAGAGACGGGGAGAGAGAGCGCAGGAGGGGGAGAGAATAAGGATGGAAAATAATTGATTTCTTATTCAATTCCTAATATAAAAGGGATACTTATTTAATTCCTAAAGTGTATAGAATTGATAAATTGTATATGCCTATGTAATTAAATTGAAACTTGAGTAGGGGGTAATAAAGTTTCAAATAGTGTATAGGAAGGTAAAAATTCATATTATAAACAAGATGATTATAGTTCTATCAGTAGACGGAAGCATAATTCCTGATCCATATCAATTGATGGACGACCTTGAACAATCTCTACAATTTATCAAGAATGATGTGTTGACAATGGCGGATCTAGAGTATAGTAAATAGATTTTCGGAAATCCAGTAATTTTTGTGTAGATCATGTATTTGTATTAAAATATTTACTAAATATCTATAAATATATAATTGTGAACCCAATTATTATTATATATTAATTTAAAATTACTATATAGTTCCTATAAATTTCAAATTCTAGATCCACCTCTGTGGGCAGAAAGAGGCCTTTTCTATGAATAAAAAATATTTAACAAGAGAACATATCCTTAGTTTGATCTTGTGGTTTTATAGACTCAAATGTTACGATTCTTAGTTTTTAATCTTATACAGTTATAACAGTCTTGTTTGTTGCGATACTTTTTGGATGCTATAGTGAAGTAGTGTTCTAGAGAACATATATTATAACATAACATGAAAAAATAGTTCCTAAAAACAGAATTTTATTGACAATAATATTGGTACACAAGTACAATGCTTATCAACGTCACAACAACATTAACAAAATATAATATTTTCTTTATATCCTATATAAGGAAAAATCTTATTGACAATAATATTGGTATACAAGTACAAAGCTTATCAACGTCACAACAACAACAACCAAATATAATAATTTGAGCAATAAGGGATACATATGATAAATGCATGAATCATCAAATAAGGACTAAATCTTAAGATTCATTGAGTTCTTAAATGTGTAAGCTAGCCAACTTTGGTTCTGAATTTTGAGAGGGCATCCTCTTTGATAAGCCTGAATGATTCGACAAAATCATCTCCAAGTTGGTTCGGATCTGGAATTATTCCTTCATCAACTGCTACTGCAAATGTTAACTTCTTGGCATAACTACACCCATGAACCATTATCCCCTATAATACAATATGCATTTGAATTTAGCGAATGTTGACTTGAGTAGTTTTGTTTTTCAATTATATAACTGATCTCAACTAGTTTGTGATTGAAAAACAGTTGCTTGATTAATTGAAGAAACTTACAGTGGGTTGTCCATAACATGTTGGAGCAATGAATGTCAATGGGTGGCCTGAGCAAGAAACTTCTTCTAGCGGACCGGCTACGTTTGAAAAGAATATTGTCGTATGAGATAGAACTCTTGCAGCAAGAGTTGTCGCACCCTATGTGCGAAGCAATAATTAAGCAAAAAACGAGTTAGGTCTAGATTTCAAGTTTCAACGACAATTAAAAAACATCTCTATTTTGATTGATAATTTTAGGGCTTTTTTCACTCTTAGCTCGCGCCAGAAACTATTTACATTCGGTAGCCGAAAAGTATATAATTTTTGTATATAACATACAGAATGTATATATACACAAAAAATATATATATTTTTCGGCTATATTTTGAGGGCGGCTATACAATGTCATTTTCTCATAATTCTTTTTAAGATGTAAAGAAAAAGAATGGAGTACTACCTTAAATCCAAATAACTTGATTATGAGTTGTGAGAGATAAAAGGTGCATAGAGACCCAAGCGAATGCTTCGTTCGATCCATTGTTGTCTTAGCTTTGCGAACATAGTCGAGAGGATTATCTAATTGGGATATAGATAAGGGAATTATGTAAAAGCCAAAACAATTTCCTTGTATCACTACAGCATTCTTCTCAATCATTTCAGCTATAGCCTGCCATAACAATCATGTGAAATCAATTGATAATTAGGCACATATGTTTGCCATAGTAGTAACACAGTTATCAATCTTTAAGCAAAATATTATTGCATCAATATCTTGTGAATACTAGCTATAAGTAACCTTGGATGATTTTCGGTTTTACATGCGGTAGATGAAGAAATACTCACTTGGACTCCTAAAGCTGGTCTCAGATTCACTACAACACTGGCTCTGCATCTCATTTTTTGTGGTGAAAACTTCCTCTTCCCTTCAATTTCTAGATATGGTCATGTTAAGAATAAACACAATAAAAGTTAGGCAGCATGGTCTTTATGTCATTGTTACACACAACCACAGATATATGACTTTTATATCCCCCTCCCCCCAAAAAAATATGACTTTCTATTTTAATTCATTAGCCAAAAGAAAAAAAAAGAGTAATTCCTTTGCAAAAGGAACCATATGAGTTGCACCTAACATGATTAATTCATAGATTATGAGGGCAAAAAAATTCTATTTCTATTTATTCACTTGTTTCCTTGGTTGATGTTTGTGATGAAATACCTATACGCCCTTAACAGTATGTTATTGTGGTACTTCCATGTAAAAATTGCGTATCAAAATTCTTTACAAGTACACGATGAGAAGTTTAAATACCGTATCTTCGGTGGATATAACGAGACAGAGCTGCTTGTGTTATCCCCATAATAACGTCATTAACAGTCTAAATTCACAATAGCAAAAATAAAGAAGAGCTTAGGTCAGAGATAAAGGCAACAACAGTGAAAAAAAGTTCAAATTAGCATAAACAGGTGAAAAGATAGAGAAATACACACAAATCCAGCCCATCTGAAGGAAAATTCTACTAGACAAGTGTGTTTATAATAATACGAAATTCATTTTCTTGTTGGAAAATACTTTTTCGTTAGAAGGTCAAGATTTGCTAGTGTTTAGTTATCAGAAAATATTTTTCATCAGATATGTAGAATGTTTGCAATACTAAGTTATTACTACTTTTTGTTTTAAATAAGGTTCCCAGTATGTTCTGGGCTTTCATAACATATCAGAAAGTTACATCTGAGCAGGGTATAGCCTAAGGTCAGCGTCCACAAAAGAACCTGTACACAAGATTTCATGCAAGCAAATATCTCTGTCTATGGTTACAATTCGATTAGTAATTAAGTGGGTTTGGGTCTAGCACTAGTAAGTTTGTCGATCAAATTTAATACGCAAAAAGATGATATAAGGAAGTGTCATGATCTGAGCTGGACCTCTAATATAGTTGCTAATTAACATTGCATATAGTTTAAATCTCTTTCAAGCTAAGGAGCTAACAAGAAATGACATTATCCTAGTTTAATTTCAATCTTTTTATGAATCTTGTATACCCTCACGCCTCGACAAGCTAAAAATCTGGTTTAGCTTATTACGGCATGTAGGACAAGAACTCTATTTGTTCAATCGGATGTGCTTTCCTAGTTTAAGAAATCAATAAAAAGAGAATATTAAAAGCAATTACGAAATAAAATAAAGTTTCTCTGACGAGATTAAATCCATGAAAAGGGATTAATGCTGTCCAACCTTGGATTTTAGGTTTATAATATACTATACTTACAGAGTTCGTTAAATTCTTTATGAATTTAATGTCGTTCAAGCTAACAGTCCGATAGATAAATCTCCGACGAGTAGACGACTTAAATCCTTGTGCAACTGTGAAAGGTGACTGAGAGTCTTTCAAGAAGAGAGCAGTCGCTACAAACAACAAAACATCAACAACTGTATTGAACAAAAGTCGGATGCACGACCACAACTTTACGAGGTACTGCCACATCAAAGACCGAATACTTGTTCTGTTGTTTGATAAATTTGATTTGCCGAAGATGAAGAAGAAGAAACCAGGAGTGTGGGCAAAGAAGTAGGATCCGAACTTTTCCGAAAACAAGAGAGTAAAAGCGAAACAAGGGAAACTCCATCGCCAAGAGAATGATGAAGACGGAAAATACAAGTAGCCTCGGCATGGGAGGTTTTCGCGTTAAGGATGTGAAGATCCCATAGAGGTTTCGACATGTCAATATTGGCCGTGCTTAGGTTTGATATATACTCTTCTACCAACTTGTCCGTATCCATATTATTGGGGTTTGATTTAATAAGGTCAGGGACTGTAACATGATCATCTATATTGACTGTCGTGGGAACCCATTTCATCTTTCGGCTGTCATCACTCTCATCAATAACCTGTTGATGTTACAACACAAACTAAAAGCATCAGATTTTATTCAAAACTTGTATAGACTTTACACTACTGTGGTATTAAACATAATTACGAGAAATTGTCTTTATATGAAATGTGAGTTAGTCTAATTTTTTATTAACTTGCTACGTACTATAATTAATTTATAGTGTAAAAGCTGTTATACATACAATTTTATCTAAATTAAGTGCCATATACCCAAAACTACGTACATGAGATATGGAATATTTTCCTCCATAAGCTGTAAGCTGGCTAAGACAATGCCAAGTTACTTATAAATTAATGATGACCCAATATGTCTCAAACATCTTTTCTATATGTATGTACCTTATTATTAATTCTAACTAATTAATAGGTATTCCAATGCACCATTGAGTTAATTACCTGCAAACTCGAAAACCGCGGATGTTTAAGCAACTTGCCTTGAATTTCAGCTTTCATGGCATCAACATTAATTGGTACTTTCCAACCCATGATTGCTAAGATGTAAAGATTGTAGTTTGGTTCATGAAACATTCGAGAGGTTGGACTCATAAGTAATGCTTCTTCTTCTCCTCCATTTTCATCTAATTTCTTTGTTGTTCGTATAGGTTTCATGACAACCATATTGTTTTCACCACGCTCCATATCTTAGAACAAATATTAAGTGATGTTGACTTATTTATCTACGAAGCAAATATTGCTGATAAAAGGCTCCAATTATATAGAGAAGAACCAAAGCTTTATTGGGTGCACAGATAGATTTCAACCGTACGACGAAGCTTTCATCATTGAAAGCACACAACTGTCTTGATAATCTAGTTTTGGAAGTCTAGACACAGTAATTTAGACTACTTTTAGTGAAATGTTTAAAGGGGTAAATTGGATTACTGACTTCACTCACATGAAGAAAGGAAATAGTTACTACCAAATTGACAGCTATCTATAAGCTACCTATTTTATTTAGGGAAAAGGGCCTAAACTACCCTGACCTATTGGACTATATACCCTTAGTCCACCTATTGAGTTAAATACCCCGCAGTTTTCTTTTGCCTTAAAAATACCCTTAAACACTAACTGACCATTTAAATAAAATTGGAAAAGGCCAAAATTGCCCTGGTATATTGAATTTAAAAATGCCCTTCGTTAATTAACCATATATATATATATATATATATATATATATATATGCCCATCTCCAAAGATCCAAATCCAAATTTAATACTAAAATCCATATCTAATCTCCTTCCGTCTTTTCCAATGAGTTTTATCTTCTTTTTGGAAAATTATATGTCCAAAAAAGTTATTTTGTATTTATTTTAAACTAGGTACAATAGACATGCTAGGTATGTTGTACTGTTTGGTTGCATTTTTTGTGTGCAGAGTACATATTAACTTCTTACATTATCTGCGCGCTTGAGGTGTGTTTAATATTTTCAGCATTAAACTTTAGTGAATTTTTCAGTTCTTAGCATCAAATTTAGCCTCTGCACTGTAGTTAAATTTGATAGTTCTCTTGTTTTGAATTATAATTATTGGATAAGTATGCAATTTTGGAACCGTAGGTGAGCCAGTCTAGTGAATTTAAATAGTTCTAGAGTTCATCAGACATAATAACCATAAATTAAATTTCATAATAAGAATATACCAAAAGAATGATAAAACTCATTGGAAAAGAAAGAAAGACACCAGATGTCGAATTTTATTATTAAGTTTTAATGTGGATCTTATGGGTAGTTGAATCTTTATAGACCGGTGAGTCATATTTGATAGGTAGTTAACAGAGGGCTTTTTAAACCAAATCAGATAGATCAGGGACAGTTTTGGCCTTTTTCTATTTTGTCTTAAATGGTTTGTTAGTTTTTAGGGCATTTCTTTTGGCACAAAAAAGTAGCAGCAATATTTTTGGCTCAATATATAGTCGGAGAACATTTTTATACCAATTTTAATTGGCTATGGGCATTGTGGCCCTTTTCCGATCTGTTTATTGCTCTTCAAGGCAAATAAACATAATCAACAGTTTTGCATTTGCACTTGTTATCTGGAGCTTAGATCATAAGTATATAGTTGAAAATTTTAATATACTAAAAAAGTCATCAAGAGTCATATAAAAGAATGATGAGCAGTGATAATATAAACTTACCTCTTAAATCCTCATGCCTATCTGAACTGGAATAAACGTGTTAAATCAGCATTTAAAAGTGAGTGGTTGGTGTACTTAAACCTTTAATTTAAGTTCAACGTTATCCTCGTGCCATTTGCGCTCTGATTAAAACACAGTGAGAGTTGATGCTGACTGTTGAGGAAATTGTTCACCTTTTTTTTAAGAAACTTTTTGAAACGTATGGTCATAAAAGTTTAAGGGACAACGGTTTTGTAGAGTCGTGATATTTGTATGGTAAAAATTAAACAGAAAATATATTTGGCCACACTAATAATGGCCCAAATGTCTAGAATAGGGGTATTATGGTAACTTCGCATGGCTTTTGAGGGCATAATGGATAATTATGCATTTTTGTTTTCCATCTATACCCTTTAGCAATTTTTTATTTTAATTTAATTTTTTCATACAACTCTTTCTCATTATTTTAATTGTATTACATTCCCTAGGCTTCTTTCACATACACATGCATGGCTACATCATTTTCCATAAAGTACTCAATGCACATATACACATATTATACTAAACAAAATATATTGAAATATACACATAGTATACTAGAGAAAATACGACCTCTCTATATATAGATAGAGGAGCCTTACAAGACTTAGAAAGCTTCGAGAAGACTCTGTATACATTTCAACTACTACACTCATCTTGCATTGATCACTTTCTAACCCTAAACTCTTAAATATATAGTGCTTCACCTAAGAAGCTTTTTCGGCCACCATTTTCCTATCTTTATTTTCTCCTTCTTCATCTTTTATCTTTCTTTTAGAGTTAAGGGTTAGATTAAGAAATCGGGGACAAGAAAAGGAATAATGCTTCGAGAGTCTATGTTGTATTTCGTGGTAAGAGGCATGGATTATACAACTCTTGGCGTCAGTGTGATCCTATGATTACTGATGTCAAGGGTAGCATCTTCAAGATTTTCAAATCGTATGATGAAGTCATAGCAGCATTCAATTAGTTCAGAAAAAGTTCTCAAGCTGATAATATATCGGCATCGAAGGTGCATGTGGTATTTCGTGGTAAAAAGCCCAGATTATACAACTTTTGGTGTGAGTGTGCTCCTATAGTTATAGGTTTCAAAGGAAGCATCTTCCAGCCTTACAAATCTTATGATGAACCCATAACAGCATTCAATGAATTCCAAGAAGCAAATACTGACAGTGAAGAACCATCTTCAAGTTCGTTTGTAGATGAAAGTGGTGTAGGGGTTGAAGGTGATAATGGAACAAGTGTTATTTCATCTGTGTTTTTAGCTGGAATGTTTGTAAGGTTGAAGATATCAGAAAATTATTTAGTTTGATTATTAATAAAACTATATTTCCCCTTATGAACTGAATATTGTGTCTATATTGTTGGATCTTAATTGAAAAGTTTGCTGCATAAGTACTTCTTCTATTCTCAACTATTTTTAAGTTTTTTACATATTTCTTGACAATATATTTTCCTACTGTCCAAAGTTGGTGCCATAAGTTCATTGTGCTATCTTTATTTGGAAAAACATTGACCACATTTAGAGAACTTAATTAATCTTTACAAATGCTGCTCTTATTTCTTTCATTGCATTAGGCATCAAATGAACAATTGCACTTTTGAAGACAATTTGACTATTTTGTTAACTGGCATCAAACGATCATTTAAGTAAAAAAATTGATTCAAAGACATAATATAATGATTCAAAGACCCTATGCAACCATTACACTTCTCAGTAGCCACCTCCACTCCTCCATATGGACATTATACTTCCGAGCAACCACTTTTACTCCTCCATGCGTCCATTACACTTTCCAGTAGCCGCTTCCACTCCTTCATACAACCATTACACTTCCTAGTAGTCAATTTCACTCCTCCATGCACCATTATACTCCTTCATGCAACAATTACTCTTCTACATGACCACAATTAATTATCGAAACTTGTCTTTATCCATCCGTCTATACATATTTTGGATAAAAAAAGTTTTAACTTCTGTCATATAGTGGTAGTGCCCTACATAAATTTTATCTCATTGTCTTAACCTTATATTTATCAGACTTGAGTAAACCATATAAAGAATACTTATTTGACCTTTGTTTAGGTTTAGGTTTAGGTTTTGGTGGTTGAATTCTATTAATAACGGATCGGTCTCCAAAATTTTGTATTGGTAAATACAATTTTTGATTTTTCGTGTTGATTTTTCCACTTCTCTATGAGCAAATTATTATCGATTTTTAGACTTTTTTTTAAGATAAGCTTCCCAGTCTTGTTCTTGGTTGTAAAAGGATAGAAAAGACGAGGGGGACTTGGCCTAAAACTATTAAATATAGTTCCAGTTTAGTCATTTTTTGCACTAAATATATTAAATAATTTTCAGTTTAAATAAACTTTTTTTAATCGAGTAGTCTTCTTAAAATAAATAAATATAACAATAATCATTGAAAAAAACACAAACAATATTATAAGGAACAATCATATTAATCCAGAAATATATTCTTACAATACTACTTTGATCCATATGAAGTCACTACATATAACTAAAAGCACATATGATGAGCGAAGCATAAGGTGTTCCTTGCACTTCAACAAAGTATATCGCAGTCCCTAATGTAGCCCCAACTAGTTCAAAGAAAAGAACACTCCCTTTCTTCATATTATTTTCGACAGCAAATTGTTTTCACCCCTTAACGAGTCTTCTCCAAACACCACTTGTGAGAGTCGCAACCCACTCCTTCCTATTATATAGAAGAATTATTTTAGCTGAAACAGGAGGAAGATAGTCACAGATGCTTTTTGGAAGAAACTACAAAAATATAATATAAAGATAGGGTTCATGATTCATTGCTAATTGGGATAATCAATAGCAATCATGTCATGAAATTTTTTAAAAAAAATTACCAAATCATCACGCTTAATGTACGATCTAGGCACGTTCATCCTAAACTATGGATAGAAATCATCTTCAATCCATCTGTTAGCATTCATATTTAGAGTATTTATTTTGTTTGGAGAGTTGAAAATATTGTTTAACACTTTAAATTGTGTTTAAGAGATATATAAAGAGTCAAAACTTTTAATTTCCCTCAAATCATATTTTTACTTTTTCCTTTGTTTTCCTCCGAAAATTTTATTTGAAATTTTAGTCCAAATATGTTATCTTGTTTTCCCTCCTAATAAAGAAGCTAGAATACATTTTAGTCCTAAATTTTAATCATATTTTTTCTTTTATTATAATTAAGATTAACCAATAGAAATATATAGAATTATATATTGACTATTATATAAACGATCAATATGACCTTAATGAATGAAATTATATATTGGCTATGTATAACATAGGCCATATGATTATAACCTTAGTCAATGGACTTATGAATAACTATAGGCCGACACGTATGACCTTAATGAATGGAATTATATATTGGCTATTATATAAATGGTCAATATAACTATGAATCACAACTATATAATTAGCATAGTCCATATGAATAAAATCTTAGTC